TTTTTATTTTTATTTTTTTTTTGGTTTTTGGTTTTTGGTTTTTCTCCGGTACCAGGAACCGAACTCACGACCTTGTGCTTGCCAGGCAGGCGCTTTTGCAGCTGAGCTAAATCCCCAGCCCCCTGTGTGTGTTTTTTTAATTGATCTTTTTCATAGCATTCGTAGCAAACCCTGATGAAGTCTAAGTGTTTCTTGAAAGGATATGGAATAGCAGGCTATATGGATCAGCTGAGGAAAGATAAGTTCGGCACAATGCTTAGAACTTCTTTCCTGATACAGGCTGGCATAGCCTGTGCGTTTTTTTTTCTAATTTGCTGTGTTTCTACATTGCCTTTTCCTGCAACTAAGATTAATGTAATGGAGCAGAGACTATGTGTAAATTGTTTATCTTTAATATGTAAGGGGCAGATTGGCATTAGCCTGCTTAAAATATACCATGTACTAACAAAAACAAGGTAAGACTTTGATAATTCCTAGTTTCTGCAATAGCATTTCTTTTTTCTTTTAGCTCACTTATGACCCTAATAAATTATCACTCTGATTGGATGTGTGCTCAGTCAATTCAAAAAGACAGTTACTAAGGAGGGTAAATGAATTAAGTCCTTTTGTTTTTCCTAACAAGGCATCTCTTAAAATCTACATGCTAAAGTACAGGCCATTATTATAATTCTTCCCTTATTTGATAACATCTGTGGCTAACTGTTTGGACTTTCTTTTATGCATAAGTTATTGCATTAAATACAACCATACAAAATATGTAGTGTGGGTTTTATTAAATATACTGTTGAATAAATGAAGCTTTAAAACAAGGGAAAAGGTGCCTGAACTGTTTCATCCTGACCTACACATGGGTGTGTGTGTGCGTACATGTGTATGTGTGTGTATATGTGTGTGTGTGTGTTTCTGCACACGTGTGCATGCATATGTGCATTTTGGATGCCTCACATAGCAAATTAAGATTGTTCAAAAACATCACTTCAAGCTGTGAAAAGCTAGAGTGATTTTTGCTTCTTTTGTAAAGTCAGTCAGTAGTAGTGTAAAATGGGAAGAAACTGTTCAAAAGAAAAGAGAAACTGGGATTGGAGGAAGGAGAAAAGGAAGAAGGGAAAAACAAATATATATATACAAGATAGTTAAGACAGTTATGCCATTAATTTTTCTCAGTTCATTGAAAAGAAAGGTTTGTGCTAATATTGTTTGGACAATTAAATGCCTCTATCTTGTACTCCGAGTAACTAATTTAAAGATAATAGTACACAATATATTAGCCATTGTTACTCTCGTATTATCTTGTTTTGAAATTTTGGGTTTTTTTCTCTTTAAAATAGATTTTAAAAAAGAAAAAGAAATAAAGTGAGTTTGCAGAGAGCATACTATCTGACCATTTGGTTCAAGAGCTTGTGGGAAGAGTTTGGAAAGGTTCAGAGATGTTGCCTGAAACAGTAGAGCTGAAAAGGCTTAGGCTATTCTGTCTGGGAGAGTCTGGTCAAAGTTCAGAAGACCATAAGGCTGATAGAAATCTTGCTGGTAAAGACCAGGCTCAGTAGGTTTCTGCTGGGAAGAAGAACTGCATTGGTTGTTGGACTCCAGATGATGTGTATTATTACTTGGCAAAAACTTTGTCTGCATTTTGTTCATGTTCAGAGACTTTGCCTGAGACTAAGATTAAGGGTGGCAGACTAATTAATCTGGCTGGAGAAATTTCAAGGCAGTCAAATGTTGAAGCAGTGGCCTGGC